AGCGGTTCCCCGATAAACACTTTGATCTCGAGACTATCCTGCAAGCTAAAATTCGTCCGCTCACCGTGGGTCATGAGAAATCCTTCATTGGTTTCTTCCATCCTGAAGGACTCCAAGAAGGGGAATTTGACTTCCTTCATGGCGCCATGTCATTCGATAGCATATGGGATGAGATTAGCCGTTCTGCATCGGACTTACCATGCAATGATGAATCTTCCACCGTATATATTGTTAGCTGGAACGACCATTTCTTTGTCCTAAAAGTAGAACGCGATGCTTACTACATAATCGACACTTTGGGTGAGAGGCTTTTTGAGGGGTGTAATCAGGCTTATGTTCTAAAGTTTGACAAAGACGCAACAATCTGTAGATTGCCGAAAGAGACTAAACAAACATCGGATGAGAAACCTACCACTCATAACGGACAGGCAAAAAATGATAAGGAAAACACTCATAAGGGACGGGCAAAAGATGATAAGGAAACTAAAGCTGAAGGGGTTCCTATAGAAGGCAAGATTGAGAAGGCAAACGATGAAAAAGAAGAGGAAATTGTATGCAAAGGCAAAGAGTCATGCAAAGAGTACATTAAGAGCTTCTTGGCTGCAATTCCTATAAGAGAATTGCAGGCTGATTTCAAGAAGGGCTTGATGACGTCAACCCCGATTCATCACCGGTTACAGATTGAATTTCATCACACTAAGTTACTGCAGCCTGCAGCCGAATGTTCAGCGAATGAAGTCACTGCTGAAGCACCAGCAATGGCAATGGAAATGGCGGTGGCGGTGGCAGTGGCAGTGGCAGTGGCAGTTGCATAGGGTGAACCGTCTTGTCATTTCTATTAACTGTCGTTATCCTAATTAATTTGCTTCTCTCGTTTTCTTCTGTTGTCTTTGTAGAGGCAAATGGGTCAAAACTGAGAAAAGCTTATTTGAGCAGTGTATAGGGGCGCTTTCACTTCTACTTGTAAGTTCAAGAAGTGTAAGCCACTTTTTCATTTTCCAAGTTTTGGTAAATTGGGTTTGTTTTTGGAATTTTTTCCATTTGGTCTTTTTCCATCTCTAATAGGGATGAAAATGTAATAGAAAATAGGACTGCTAACTTTTTTTAGAACCTCATTACCTACCAACTTGTGTGAAGAGGATCCAATAGATATCTTTATGGTAAGTGCCGTTGAAGATGAATATGAAATATAATTCCATACTATACAATAATCAATCAAAGATTAATATAGAGATTCTTATTGCATATAGAAAGTGCAAAGTTCCCAGAATCCCATCCAAATAGGTGGCTACTAACAGAATATCATATTGGCTATGGTAATCAATTATGTTGGCTGATAAAAAGGGTGAGAGAGAGAGAGAGAGAGAGAGAGAGAGAGAGGGCTTAAAGACAAGCTATTCAGCGTAGGACGAAAGGTTTGGGCTTCAGAGGCTCAGACACCATCACTCGACCACAGCTGTGAAACAAGCTTGACGACCCCCGACATCGGCGCATCATTCTGCATGCAATCAACGGCAGAAGAAAAAACTTCCAAGTTAAGCTCTAAAAAGCCTGAACTAAGAAGCTTCCAACATACAAAATTATCCAAATGTTGAAATCTTGAATTTAATAAGATTAATATTTTCTAAGAAGCCTGTTAACCCTAACTATATATTCTCCAGGAACGAGATGCCAAAAAGATCAAGCAGATAAAATAAAGCATCCCTGGCAGATCACCGTCAAATACAAGTTCATATATAAATTTTTTTTTTTAATTACAGAACTCAAAATTTTTTCTTTCTTTGAGTTCGAGTAACATCACGGCGTCACATGAGAAGAAGAATAGTACTGCATAAACATTGGAAGTTGCTGGTTTTGGACAACTGATACAGTTGATGAAAAGAAAGCATAATCTTGCCAAGTAAGTTTAACTCACCAGGTAAACAATATCGAAGGCATTGCGGTAGTTGTCAAGAGAGTTTTCAATGTTATCGTTCCTGAAACAGCAAGTAACAGAATTCACCAATAAGTTTCTCTAAGCACGGAAACCTATGTACAAATGAAAAATAGCTATAATTTCTCTCTCTAGAATCAACAGACAACAAGAGAAAGCAGACTGGGCATGTCATTTCATCAAAGAGGAAAGTAGAGGAAAACAAAAGCTCTAATCCACAATCTTTTTCAGTGCCAACGACAGGAATAATCGCAACAGACGCTGGGAACATTAGTGTTGCAATAGATTCTTCTTATTTTCTTCTTTTAACGAAAAAAACTAGTTCATTGCTTGTTCCAGTATGTAAACAAACATATACTCCCCAACAGGTACACAACACAAATAGAGTATACGGCTCTAAAAGAAGCAATTCTAAGGGCCTTGTCAAATAGCTCTTTTATTTGACAAATAAACTATGTGGGTCGACCAAATGTACTCACAGAAACCCCACAGAGATTCGAGTCTCATAGTTCAGACCATCAGACATTCCAAGGTCCCCGAGATGATCGCCCAGAAGCAGCACGTTGGTTCTCGTCTTGACCGAGGAATTGTCATAAGTTGGCCCATCTACATCGCCCAATTGATCGTGAAGAGGAGCTGCCATCTCAAGAGCATGCTCATTTTTATTTAGACTATGAATTGTCTTCCCTGCATACAAAAATAGTAAAAGCAAAATAAGTGCTCACTTCATCTTTAATAGAATATAAACTAAGTTTGCATCCAATTATTGAAACAAAGAGAGGTTACCGATATCAAAATTGCTAAAATGAAATTTCAAGGCAATGATTGTCAAGATTAAATAAAAAAGAAGAGAAAAGTGAAAACTGTATGTTAGCCAATAGTTTAGGAAGAACAAATTTTGTGTGGACTGCTATGGAAGCAGAATACTAGCGTTAACTGCTCTATTCTCAATTTCGAGCAAACAAAAAAAAAATAAAAAAAAAATAAAAAACTCATGTTCACGATCTAAAAGGATGAGATACCTTTAAAAGCTACAAGATGACCACTTTCATTAAATACCATTCGGTTTGAGACAATCTTCACGTTCTTAAAAGATTTGTGAAACTTTTGTCTCAGGACCTGATACCGCGAAAGAAGGGACATCAAAGAAAGTTGCAAACACAATCCAGAAGTAAAAACATGAGCGCAAAATAATATGGCTTCGAAAAAATTGAATGTAGAACACTGACCTCCTCTATTATGTCTGCAAGTCCTGCAGAAAATATAAGTATTGGAATGTCCTTTTCCTGCAAAAAGCAGGGATCATTTTGTAGTAATCAACACACAAAAAAAAAAAGGTTTAAAACAACCTAGAGTTTAGAGTAATGACATCATGCACCGCGTAGCAAACATATCCTTCTTCAGGATACAATCTCAGATCAAAGAATCAAACAGTCAAATCAAGGTGCTCCAATTCTGAGGCATATTTATCCATATAGGAAACAGGGTTCAAGTAAAATGAGTTTTACCTCCAGAAGCTCAAATAGTTCAGCAACACCTTCTCTGAAAGCAATTATAGAATCAGCAACAGATTGCTTTATTGCATCACATGTAAGTCCTCCTTCAATCAGAAGAGCGTGTGTTTTTCCCCACCTGCATCAACATTCAACGCCATTGGTAAATCTCTATGTTTTGATTCACGATACACGTAAGTAAGATGTTCCAGCATCAAAGGAACATGAACGAGCATTTTAGATCAACTATTTTTTTTAATACTTGATTACATTGTAGCTGTGTGGAGATAGTTTAGCGGTTTTAATTTATGTTGCAATGTGTTCACCAGTTGAAATATACAAATGCATACCACTCTTCCATCAGCTTTGTTTTCTCGTCGATTGGAATTGTTGGCGAAAATTCTAACGGATGATAATGATAATATAAATCCCTCCTTTTCTTATCATATTCCGGATTCCCCTGTCGCAAAAGGCCATGACTACCTATGGCTGTTAAGTTATTAAGAAACTTGAACCAAAATCCTACACAGAACTTCCAAGACCATACAAGTACTTGGGAAACTTACTTGTCCCCCGACGACCATTGACCCAATACCTAGTTAGTGTAGCATCAAAATCTGCAATTACCTGCCACGCATAAGACATAATAAATGAACAAATGGGTTTACAACAAGAAAGATGAATGAACCAAACAATCAAACTAACAAGAGTAACAAAGACTTCGGAGCATTACTTTATTACTACCAATGACAAACACAATAGATAGACTTGCTAGACTGCAGTCCTACTTTGAAAAAGCAAACTGTTAAAATATAAAAACTAATGTCGTCTCATCTCCTAACAGCTTAAGCTTATGTGAGAAATAGTTAACTAATAATTAAAATTAATATGTATTGTATGGATGTATATATATATATTATATATGGATGTATATATATATATAGATATATATATATATATTTCAGGCTCATAAATAATATATTCAGATGTTGAGCTTCCCATTAACATTCGCCACACGATTATCCATTGTCTAAACCACACAAAAACTAAGGTTTGGCCCTCCTAAAACCTTAAAGCTTACACAAACTGAAGTATATGTGTGTGTGTGTTAAAAAAAAGGACCACATTTTGTACATACAAAATCAACTATAAATGTGATAGAGGTACCATTTTTTATACTCTCCAATCCAGTGCTTCAAAAATAAGATGATAAATATAAAAAAAAAAATGAAAAATGAAAACAGAAACCAAAGAAGAAGCAATTACTTGGAGTTTTGTTGGACCAGCCGTTCGAATAGCAGAGATTTTATCGTCCAAAAGCTGAGGATCAGCCACCACCACCTCACAGCCATCAGAAAGACCATTTCCTAACATTTTAAAGCGATCTTCGAATCTACCACTACTGAACCAAAGCCTGCAAAATGCAAATTATTAACCACAGACCAAAAAAACAGAATAACCAAAGACATTATTAAGAGTTAGGAAAGAAAAGGACCTTGAAGATGAACAGAATTGGGTGGTCGGAAAGCAGAGCTGAATCCGTTCAGAGCTTAAGTTTACGGAGACGGTTTTGAAGAAGCTCTGTAGTTGGTTACTCATTTTCGAGTGACCATGTTTTTTTACTCTTTTTTTTTTTTTTTTTTTCGTTATTTTCTTTGACGTCTGAGTGGGCATCTTATTATGCCGGCCAGACGGGCTTTGGTGTCTGGGCTGGCCCATCTTTGACGTCTAAGTGGCCATCTTAATTATTACTGACAATTACACGCAAAATTTCATACCTGCTTTGAAATTTAACAAAATATTATAAATAAAACAAAAATGACATAATAATATCAGATTTTATACTATATAATGATATAACTATTATTTTGATGATATAAAATTTTGTTATTTTTATAATATTTTAAAATTTTTGCTACATTTAAACTTTGATATTCAAAATTGGTTATATGTGCAAATCATCCAATTTTATTACAAACTGGCCCATCTTTGACGTCCGAGTGGGCATCTTATCGTGCCGGCCGAGCGGGTTGACCCACAATCTGTATTTTTAGTTTGGTGTCTGGGCTGGCCCGGCCCAGACACTTATGGTTGGTTTGGGCTTGAAAGACAACTGCCCCGACTTTAAGGCCTCGATTGACTTATGGCCGACAAAAAAATTTGAAAAATACTAAAAGCATTAATAGTATTCGGTAACTGCCCATGATACTGACCGATAATCGGCGGTATCCATCGTGATACTGGTTGGTTACTGACCATGATACCAGCATCCTGCTGTGATACTGGCTCGTATCCATTGTTGTCGACGCTGCCGACGGATTACCGGCCTGTAATCAACAGTATCCACAGTGATACCAGTTGGTTACTTACCATGATACCAGCATCCTGCTGTGTGATCAGCTGGTATCCGATGATGCCGACGTCACCGGCGAAATTAAAAAAAAAAAAAAAAGACAAAAAAACAATTCAAATATTACATAACATTACAAAAAAATCATAAAAGTTTGCAAAATTGGAAGCCTAATGGTGATGAGGTTTTACACGGAGATTTGAGGTCTTCAACTCTGAATCTGCAGATCGAGGCGGCTAGGCGTGAATTTGAAGCGGCCTCTTTGGCAACGAGTCTGTGGTGCTGCAGATCGATTGGCCCTTAAGAGTCGAAGGTTGATCCAACCTAGTCTTTAAAGCCCCACAAACCAACTACATAGGCCGTTTTGAAGGTAAAATTTAAAACGGAGAAAGAGGAAAATAAGCTAAAATTTGAGATGAATTAAAATTAATAGGTCAATAGTTTACATAAGTTAATAAATAGGTCAAATTACTGTTTTTGTCCATAACTTGTCTGGTTATGAACCATAACTTGACAAGTTATTGTCCATAAATTGTCTGGTTATAAACCATAACTTGAGAAGTTTGTCCATGACTTATCTATGACTTATCTGGTTATGAACCATAACTTGACAAATTATGACCTATTAATTCCTATAACTAAAAATTGACCTATATATTTTTTTAAACTTTTCATATTAACCTATTTTATATTATTTTTCAATTTAAAATTAAGAATAAAAAGGGACTTCGGGCCCACTTGGCACGTGAGTTTGGTTAGGACCGAAATGATTGGGCTTTGAGTTGGCCCACTTTGCCCAACCCGAAGTTACAGCACTAGCCATTGAAGAGCATATCGTTGCAAATGTAAAAATTAATTAAGATCAGTAGCTCTGCAATTGCCTCGTGAGAGACCACACTTCATGTGTAATAACCTGAAAATTTCAAATACTAAATCTTTAATTTAATCGAGATTTACAACTCTCCTGACAACATTTTTGTATGTCATAAAAACTTCGTGACTTTAGTATTATGAACGGTTGAAATTAGTGATCACATTTATTAAAAAAAAATCCTTATGTGTTTATTTCAAGTGTAATTTTGAGTAAATTTTGAATGCGTCCTTAAGATAGTTTTCATGTCACCAGGATTTAAATTATCCTAAGAAAGACAAAAATAAAAGAGAAAAATACATAGTTTTTCATGATTTGGTGCAAGTCAATTATTTATGTTCATTCTAAAGAATTGAGTGTTATTATTGTCTTTTATTTTATCTTTATTAATTAAACCATAATTGTTTATTTTTTAGTAGAGTGTCATAAATAATATTTTTTACCACCTTATATGGTATTCTAGTTTTTTTTTTTTTTTTTTTTTTTTTTTTTTTTTTTTTTTTTTAGTGCTAAGGAAATTATCTCAAATGAATGAGGACTAGGATTAATGAATTGGATCAAAGGTGGATAAATTGGATATAGGAAAAAAAAAAAAAAGAAAGAAAGAAAGAAAAAGGATGACATGATGAGAGGTGTGAGTGGGACGAATTTTTGGAGCCAAAATTGTTGGAAATTGCCATTATATATTCATGAAAGCGTTTTCATTTTTTGGTCATTGGAAAACGTGAAAAACGTTTTTGAAAACGCTTCCAAACAGCCAACATATCTCAGGCGCTAAATGGTTTTCCTTGCCTTGATGTCCTCCAAATTCTTTTACCCTCAATCGCGCATATGTTGACAAAGAGCCAAAGAAATGAATGATAATAATTCTTTTAAGCTGAAAAAAATACAAAAATATTTTGTTGCCTTTGCTTTTTTTAAGTGAGAGATTGTGTAGCCGGATGCTAAGTTGTGCATTACAAGTAAAGCAAAGAATGGCATTAATAGACAAATCAAGAAAGCATAGAATTCCCTAACTCTTCCTCCCTCTTCAGACCATACCTTTCTTGTTGCAGTCAGTTCTTGAAGAAATTACCTTTTAACACTTGTTTACACACAAGTCATATTCTTCATATATTTACATCTATATGACTTCTATAGTATACATTTAACGGTTCTAGTTTTCTAATTTGTTTTCCACAGTTAGTAGCCAAAGAACTCAATCACCAAGAGAGAGAGAGAGAGAGAGATAGGGGGGAAAAAATCTTCTTTCTTTGGAGATATGGCTGAGGCTGTTGTTTCCTTTGTGCTCGAGAAAGTGGGAGAGTTGATCATGGACTCCATCGTAAGCGAAGCAATGCTATTGTATGGAGTCAGTGACCAAGTTGACACTGCAAAACGGGAGCTACAACAGATGCTGTTTCTTACGAGATGCAGATGCACAGATGAGTCGTGGAGTGGCAACCGAGAGTTTGCGCAATTTCGTCTCAGAAACAACAGAAGGTGCTTATGATTTGGAGGATGTCATCGCGACATTTTCCTCAGAAGTAGTCAATCGTCCGGGGACAAAATCAGGTATCATGAATGTTCTCAAGAGGTGTGTTTGCTTACTGAATGAAGGACTTAGAGGCGAGCTTATTCCCACATTGTTGAACATGACATTGTTGGATTTGATAACAATATTAAAGAACTGGTGGGACATCTGACATCAGATGACAATTCCCATCGCGTTGTATCGATTTGCGGGATGGGCGGTCTAGGCAAGACCACAATCGCAAGAAAGGTCTATCGACGTAGCGAAATACGTGCTCATTTTGGAAGTCTTGCTTGGGCATCAATATCGCAACAGTGTCATGTAAGCAGTGTGTGGAAAGAAATTTTACTCAAGCTTTGCGGGGACGAGAAAACCGGAATCAGAGAAATGGAGGAGGAAGAAATATGCAGAAAGCTCTATAGCATCCAAAAAGAAAGGAAGTGTCTGGTAATTCTTGACGATATCTGGACGACCGAAATGTGGGATCGTCTAAGCCCTGCTTTTCCAAAAGATGGAACAAATAGCAAAATATTGCTCACTACTCGGACTAGAGATCTAGCTTCGCATGCAGACAGAAACGCCATCATTCATGAGCCTCTCTGTCTCAATGACGATGAAAGCTGGGAGTTGTTTCAGAATATTGTTAGAGCGCCTCAAACAAGTAATATTTTACTCTACTCACAATATTTACGTTTATTAATTTTCTGTTACACCGATGGTAATTTGGTAGGACCTCAAATTTAACCTTACTTTAGTTTGTCGTTATTGAATATAGTGATGAGTAAGAATCATTCTCGCAGAAGAAGAATGATAAAAAAAGATGGTTAATGGATTAATTTCCACCTTTCGACAATGGACTTACGATGAAATTCATCGATAAAATTCCTAATTTCCTATAGAAACCACCAACCGTAGATAACAATAAGCTCTGATATTTCAATCTTTCCTTAATTTAATGTTAAATAAAACAAGCTCTTTATTTAATCACTTTCCCTCAAATAACCTAGAACAAGCTCTCTAGATTCAATTCAACGGAAGCATTAAGTTGAGAAAGATAGGTTTATCTAGGCAATAAACATACAAGCTTGGAATATTCAACCTAGGTTATGTTCCACGTATAATCACACAAAAGCCTCCCGCAATTATTGATCATAATTCGCTACCGATAATTAGAAACTCAAGACAATTACAGATCAAGAATTCCTAATCTAGTAATAGATAATTTCTAAATCCTAATTGGTTGCGCACCTAGAAAAAATAAGAAAATAATCATGAGCAATTAAATTGAAAGAACATAAACAATTTCTATTGAGAAATTGAAAACAATATAAAATCATTTAAACATAAATTCCATGTCTAGGGTTTCGACATCACCCTTAACCAAAAAGAAAATTAGCATAACATAATGATAAAATAACACGAAGAAAAATAAATGAAAAAAACATGGAGTTCAAAGGAAAGAAAAGAATAAAAACTCTACGAATCTTAGAACTCACTTTTTCTCTCCAAAAAGAGGCCGGAATTTCTTGGAAAAAGATCCCTTTTTAACCCCCAAAGTCTCATATTTATAGATTTCTATGTTTGGGTCAATTAAGGTGAAATTCGGAGTCCAAAAACCTAAAAATTCAAAAGTTATAGTGAAGTAGCGCCTAGGCCTTGATTTGTCGTGCCTAGGCCCTGGTGCCTTGGATTTTTGGCTTGATTTTGTGGTTTTAAGCGCCATGGTGCCTGTTTTCAAGGCCTAAGCGTCCGAAACTTTTTCAAATTAATCCTTTTGAGTTTCCAGACTTGTTTTAATTTCTAAAACACCTATAAAACATAAGAAGACAAATAACCACAAAATACTCAAGAAATAAGCAAAGAATCATGGGAAAATTTATCAAAAAACTATACCAAATTACGCACTTATCATACACTTTATTTTAGATTTGTGAAATCACACTTTTACAAACTTTTCATATAAATGGCATATGATTGTTTACAATGGTTATGTGCATTTAGTAACACGTTCTCTACGAATTTCTTTTGAACTATTTAGTAACACGTTAAGATAATCTAAGCCACATCTATCCAATTAGAATGCAAATTCTCTGTCTTGCTTCGCTGTCCCTTTTTCTGTCTACAGCGAACACATCATCGATTCAGTAAAGGAATTATTTCTCCGTTCATTTTGACGTTTAGTTAACTATTTCAACCAAAAGGGCAAAAAAGAAAAAGTAACCAATTTTAGTTTAGAATTTTAAATTTTAATAAAATTTTTTTTAAATAAAATTACATCTTAATTTAAATTAAAAATTTAAATTAACAAGTTAAACGGCCTTTAATATTCTCTTAAGCTCTCTCTCTCATCATTCTCTCTCTAAGTAAATCTCTCTCTCGCCCAAAACATAAAGTACAGGAAAGAAAACAAAATCAGATGCGCCTTTCCTCTGTTCGATGTCCTTCCCATCTTTCTCCTAAGACATGTTTATAGCGACTGGAAATCTGGAAATTTCCTTCAGTTTTCAGTTAAAAAGAGTCCCTCATACCCTCTCTGATCATAAAATGAAACCCCATATTTGTTTCACTGGAAATGAAAAATAAAATAAAATAAAAAATAAAAAACCCAAACTCCCCATATGCACCTCTATTGATCTCCACTTTAATTCAAATATCAATTTTGTACTTTTTAATTTTTTTAAGAAAGTAATGTTCTCAGGTCTTGATCTCAGGTCTTTGCATCATCAAAAAATTATCACGTCAATTATTTAATTGTCCGTCAAAAAAAAAAAAGAGAAAATTATTGAACTTGAATAAACTATTGCATTCATCCAATTCTGTTGTATCTATTAAAAATGAAATGAAATGAAAATACTTGTATTGCATCATGAAACATTGCAAATATGCAATTTCATTCCAGCATTGTTTTGGTGTTTGCAGATCCGGAAGACGAAAAAATAAAGGAGGAACTAGGGCGGCAGATGCTCAGACATTGCGCTGGTTTGCCATTAGCTATCATTGTACTCGGGGGACTTTTATTCAAAAAAGAAACAGCTGTGGAGTGGGAGATGTTTGGTAAGAATGTCAAGAAGCACATCAGTGAAGGAAAAGGAAAAGAGCTGCAAGATTCCAAATACTCAGGTGTCTCATGGGTGTTGGGTTTAAGTTATGATGAGTTGCCATATTTCTTGAAGCCATGTTTCTTATACTTGGCAATTTTTCCGGGGGATTCCGAGATAAGGACACATGAATTATGTCAAATGTGGATGGCAGAAGGCTTCATATCATCTGAGGAGATGGGGTATGACTACTTGCACGAGTTGGTACAAAGGTGCATGGTTCAAAGAGGAGTGCTGAGTTCAATAAACAAAAGAATTAGAACATGTCGGGTTCACGATCTTATGAGAGATTTGTGTTTGTCTAAGGTTCGAGAGGAAAACTTTTTGCGAATCACCGATTTCTCAAACGGACACATGGCCACAGATACTTTGGCATCATCTAAGGTTCGTAGACTTGCCATGTTCTATTTCCGCAGCCATTATGAATTGCCAGCCATCAGTAAAGATGGCAGCCTTAGATCTTTTATATGCCACTACGAATTTGACTCTCATCCGACAAAAGTGGGGCCGTGGTTTGATTACTTTCGTTTGCTAAGGGTTTTGAAGTTGGAAAATCTGGGCCATTCTTTTACGCTACCCAGAGAAATTGGAAAGCTCATCCACTTGCGGTTCTTACGATTGCAGGGAAAAAATTCAGCTGAACCATTTCCATCATCCATAAGAAATTTGACAAGCTTGCAGACCTTAGAACTAGACCTACAAGATTGCGGATTTGATTTTCTTAGCAAAAATGTGTCGAAGTGGAGGTTGGAACAGTTGAGACATCTATATTTACCATCACCTTTGTACAGCTCTTGTTTCAAAGTTAGTGATAAACAACTCTTGTTGGAGAGTGCTGGTAGTCTGCAGACACTAGTCAACATTTCAACTTCATACCCTGGTTTCAATGGTTTGGCACGACTGACACGTCTTACGAAGTTAAAAGTTGTGTTTGACGAAGATTGGCAAGGAGGTGTTACATTTAACTGTCTTCGGTTTCTAAGGGTGGAGGTTGAAGCGCCCAATGGAATAGACATTACACCAATCCTATTGAGCTGTCCTCAAATTTACAGACTAAAAGTGAGCGGTCGTATTCCAAAATTTCCAGAAGACTACAGCCAATTCTCATCAAACCTGTTAAAGCTGACGCTTATAGGAACATGGCTAAAGAATGACCCCATGCCTACACTAGGAAAGTTACCAATGTTGAGGATCCTTCGCCTTCTCAACAGGGCCATCATAAGCGAGGAAATAGTTTGCTTGGGAGGAGGTTTTCCACGACTTGAATCTCTTCACTTTTGGGGGGTTTTTCTTGAAAACTGGAGGGTGGACGAAGGAGCCTTGCTCAGTCTCTGCCATTTGACTATTGAAATGGATCTCACTCTAAGGAGACTTCCAGAGGGACTAAGATTCATTGCAACTCTCAAGGAAATTGTGCTAGATCATATTCCTGTGGAACTAGTAAGGAGGTTGAAGGAAGGAGGTGAAGATTTCTACAAATTTCGGCATGTGCCATCTCTTGTATTTCTACATCCCTATATCCACCGTACGTATTCATAAAACTTGAACCAGAGTTGATTTTTTCTCTTCTTTTTTAGCTTTATCTTTTCTATTATCATTGCATTTTACACCCAACTAACTCTTTAATTTGATCCATGTTGAGTTTCTTGATACATGCCATCTATACCCTTGGAGAGATACTGTTTGTATTGTTCTCTGTTTGGCTCCGTGTATTCTATTTCTTGCTTCATTTTATTTTTCTTTTCTCTCTCTCTCTCTCTCTGGATTTTTTTTTTCCCTTTTGCTCTGCGCTTTCGTGTTGACTTTGGTGGATAAATGATCTCTTGGCTGACTTTCAATACCATATTCTTGTCTTTTCGGATTTCGTCACTCAACTGTAGATCTTCTTCATTGTGTTTTCTATGTTTTGTTTGCTTTTAACCTTTTGGAAAAGAAAAAACAATGTCGAAAAAAGAAAACAATCAAGCGTATTTATTTTCAACGTATCAAAACTTTATAAGTACGATTATCATTTCTCAGTTTCCTATAAAATTTTATGTATCGTTTTACATTCTTTGTGAGGAAAAAAAAATACAGGAGATCTATGGTGTATGAACTGATTGCTATACTATCTCAAACCCCTGAACAGATTTTTGAGAGATCGAATAGGAAGATACCGCAAGAACTAAAGGAATGGTTTCCTCTATTATGTTGTTGTCAATAGGTAAGCTTTTGGCTCCTTTTTTTCATCTATTTCACAGAAAATTTGACATGATTTTTGAGGCAGATAAATCTATGTGAACGCCTCCTGATAAATCGAACGTAGATTTTAGTTTTTGGATCCTGATTTTGAGCTAAAATTTGTTTCTCTCTCATGAGTAGTCTGTTTTCTAGCATGTACACTCTGGCATAGCCAAAAAATTGTTCTCAGAGGGAGCATGAATTAAATCAAACGTTTGAACTAAAATAACACTACTAATATTATCATTCTTGTCATCATCATCTATCTATCTTTACCTTTTCCAAATGAACTAAGATTGTTATCAAGTCTAATGCAGTTTTTACAGTTTACAATCCACGACATTACGTGGTTGATATTTTGGTTCTTTGGCATTCTATTATCATTCTTGTCATCATCATCATCATCTATCTCTCTTTTCCTTTTCCAAATGAACTAAGATTGTTATCAAGTCTAAGGCAGTTTTTAAAGTTTACAATCCACGACATTACGTGGTTGATATTTTGGTTCTTTGGCATTTTTTAGTTTGAAATAAGGGTATGGTAAAAATGTCAAAATTTGGAGCATAATCGAAAGATTTTTACAAAATAATCATGCACAAATATTGCAATTAGAGAATTTCGAAGGACGAAAACTAAGAAAAAAATGTATAAATTGGCTGTTGGGAATATATTTACAGAGCCCTGAGGCGCGATGTGGCTCTGCCACTGCATGTACATAAAGGAATATAATTTTAACTTTCCCATTTGGTATATTTGGTGCTTCCTTCCTTTTACCATGTAGATCAAAATGAACAATTACTTTTTTCTTTGTTCCCATTTTCTGTAATATGACTATAGCTTTCATGTGATCCGTTTTTACTTTGCAGTGCAATGTTTGGCTGATCACTTCACTCTTTGAAGGGATTTGATGGGATTTGTCCTTTGATTCTTTCACTTTTCGTTATTGATCATTCGTGGCGCTTCCATGTTACCCTTCCCTAGAATCGTTTACGGCTTAGTAGGGAGGAGAAGCATAGGATCCTGGATTACTTTTTTTCCGGTGTTGCTTTCTGTTGTAGAAAACATTTGGGATAGCGTCATGTTCTATGTTTATTTATTTATTTTATTTTTTGTCAGCTTTATTGAATATATTGTGATCGAATTGGTACAGTTGTTATTTAAGTTTCCTATTTAATTGTACAATCCGGTGTTGCTTTCTGTTGTAGAAAACATTTGGGATAGCGTCATGTTCTATGTTTATTTATTTATTTTATTTTTTGTCAGCTTTATTGAATATATTGTGATCGAATTGGTACAGTTGTTATTTAAGTTTCCTATTTAATTGTACAAGCCACTGTTGTTTATATTGTTAACCTACATTGAGTATCAATGGAGTTTGAAATCATGCTGTTTTAAGTTGTGATGGGTTCTAGAATTTTAAAAATTGAGCAGAAAATTCCACACAATCTTTTCTTTATAGATAGATTTTTCACTTCCCAAAATAAGGGTTAGTGACGTGTAGGCTTGTTTAGAAATTAAATCTAATTAAGAGAATAATTAAACATTTGAAAATATGAAAATCAATATCAAAAAATTAAATCATTTAGGAAATTTCTAAATAAACCCCACATTTTGATAAAATTAGATTTCAAAAAAGTAATGGGGATTTCCTCAATTTCATGATAAAACAAGTTTAAAATTAAGCCTCTGGCATCATTCAAGGATTCCCCACAGGAAAATTCATATTGTTGAATACGTGAATAAACAAAGAAATGAATATAGACATAAACCACAGTTTAGAAATATTTAATGTTAGAATCCATAAAATTTATATATGCCTTGAGATGTACAACAAGGATGAGAATCAGTGCAACTTCTTCTCTTGAACCGCACAAGATAGCGTTACCAGTAGTTGCTACCTGCTCGGCACTGCTTCTAGTGTCGCCTGTAAGGGGTTTAAAACATTGAAACAGAAGAAAAATGAGCGAAAGACTCAGTAAGATATAATTTTTAAAAATTTTATAAATTAAAGAGTACACGGTCCGAACATACCATTCGGAACCAAACATCCCTTTACTGAAAGGAAAATAATCTTAAATTTCCAGTTTCATGCATCAACATGTAATTTATGAGCTATTTTAATTTACTTACAGCATTACAAAGCCTTAATATAACCACCGAAGTGGTCCGTACAAGTTTTGGGACCTGCCCCTAATGATACAATTTCCATATCCCGATCTCTAGGCCATCAGTATTTTACAATTTCTTAAAATATCTTATTTTAAGAAAATATATCTGTTAAAAACTTAATTCAATTTATTAAAAATTCAATAGCATATATCTGTTAAAAAATGTGTATATTTTCACTTAAAATATATACATTTTCTTTTATAATAAAATATATAATATATACATATTTTAAAAAAAATATACACATTTTAAAGAGAACACATACATATTTTGAAGAAAAAATATATAAATATAGCTCTAGTCCGGTACAGGACTGGAGACTTGGCCCATAATTTTAACTTTCCCCTTTGTTTTAATTATGTATTAGGAATGATTGTTATGATGGTACTTGACCATGTAGATCAAAATGAAGAATTGCTTTTTTCTTCGTTCCCATTTTCTGTAATATGACTATAGCTTTCATGTGATCCAATTCATATAAAAATCCTATATTGCTAAATCAGACAAACAAGCCCTAAAGAAGCGCTCAAGGAAAGCGAAATCCAATCCTTTTCATTGGCGGCGGCGGATCCGAATGGCTACTACTATGTTCGAACAAGACGAAGATGTGGAAGACATAAACCCCTTCACCATGCTCCTAACACAAGACGAAAATGGCGATACCAAGGGACATTCTACGCTACATGCTAGCGCAGGGGAGCCACAGTTGCAGCAGCATTATATCCGCTCGATTGACACCGAGTTGACAATCAGACAGCTCCCATCGCAAGGCCTTTCGTTCCAGCTATGGCCGGCAGCCACAACGCTCGTCAACCTCCTCGACGACCACCGCCGCGAC